CCGTGTATCTTTACCCAGGTTCCCCAATCCTCACCACCCCCCACCCCCCATTTGCTCTATTGTTCACCCTCTATCCCTCTCTAGATCAGATATTCACATTTCCAGAAACCTTTGAGAAAACATTGGCGATACCATGTCCCTTTGTCCCTAAATACCTCACTGTGTATTTGCTAAGGACAAGGGCATTCCTTTCAAGAATCACAATCCGGTGACCGAAATCAGAAAGTGTAAGGTGGACAGAGTCCTCCTATCTACCACTCAAACGCCACCGGTGTCTTAGGAACGTGCAGGGGGGGAGGTTCCTCCTCCTGGAATGGCGTCCCAGGGGCTTCTCTCTGGTCTCCGTTCACGCGAACAGGTCCTCTTTCTCCTTCGTGACCCTGACACGAGGCCAGTTGCTTGGCAGCAAGTCCCCCACATTGGAATTCGCTGGGCGTTTCCTCCCTGTTAGACTCAGGTGAAGGCAGCCTGTTTCTTTTTTTTTTTTTTAATTTTTATTTTTTTTATATATTTTATTGATTTTTTACAGAGAGGAAGGGGGAGAGATAGAGAGTTAGAAACATCGATGAGAGAGAAACATCGATCAGCCGCCTCCTGCACACCTCCCACTGGGGATGTGCCCGCAACCAAGGTACATGCCCTTGACCGGAATCGAACCCTGGACCCTTGAGTCCGCAAGCCGACGCTCTATCCACTGAGCCAAACCAGTCAGGGCTCTCTCTTTTTTCTTAATTGATTTTTAGAGAGAGATGCAAGAATCCTTGTCTTAGTTCAGAGGACCAAGAGAAGATGCCTTCCCATTTCTAGGGCCAAATGAACACAGAAAACTACATCTCCCATGAGGCTGTGTGCAGGCAGCGTCATTAAAAAAATACCCCCCCTGCTACCGAGGTTCCTCTGAGAAACAGTTCCACCACACGGACAGGCGGTTGGGATACAGTGAATGGGGATAAGTTCTGTGCTGTCTAAGGGCAGGGGTAGTCCCGAGTCCCTGGGGACACCTTAGGGGAGCAGAAAACGGGGGCCCAGGGGCAGGCTGGGGCTTTCTCACATCCTTCCAGCAATAGGGGGGAGCAGGGGCTTTGGGGTTCGCCGGGAGACAGGGAGGCAGCTCCCATTCCCGACCTCCAACACACATGCTCACTCGGACCCTTCTTTCGGACTCTTTATTGTTCCAAGTAAGAAAAGTAAAAATATAAATAAGATAAATAAGCCAATAAATAAGGAGGAGACCCAGCCATCCACAGCCGGCGGCCTCAGGACGTGTAGCTGGGGCTGTGGCCCTGCGACGACGGCCACACCATGCTCAGGGGGTCTGAGGAGCCCACGTCGGGCGGGGCCGGGGCCAGGCCCCCTGGCGGCTCCGGGGGCGCTGGGGGCAGGCCGGGCAGCGGCAGGAAGCGGGCGGGCCCCCAGGGAGGCAGGTCGCCGTGGGGCAGGCGGAGGGGCAGGCCTCGGGCCTCGGACCGGTAGACGTTGTAGCCGTCCTCCAGGAGCAGCTCCCGGAAGCTGCAGGCCTCGGGGTCGAAGCGGAGCTGAGGGCACAGGAAAGAGGTCAGAGCCACGGCCACGCCTCCGGTTGCAGGACCCGGGGTCCGGCCTCCCACCCCGGCCTCGAGGACACCCCTATAGGGTCCTGCAAGGCCCACTTCCGGTCCCCACTTCACAAAGACCGCCATTCCAGCCCAGGGGACAGCTGAGGCTTCCCCAGACCAAGCGGGGAGTCTGGCTGCCCCCTAAGGTCACGGTCACTGCACGGCCAGGAGCCAGACACGTGGAAGCCGGTGGGGTCAGCAAGGGTTAAGGGACGCAAGCCTCGGTCTCTCGTTCACAGGCCTCGTGACTTGGGGCCACGGTATCCGTCCCTGCCTGAGCCTCAGTTTCCCCTTCTTGCAAACATGGATAACAACAGCCCGGCTTCATGGGTTTTGGGGGGCGGGGCGGGGGTCCGGCCCTGAAGCGGGCGCAGAACCCCGCCTCGCCCGGGGCCACCAGTGCCAGAGGTGGTCCCGCATGGTGACCCGGGGAGAGGAAGGACTGGGTCCCAGGAGGGGTGTCCCGGAAACTCACCGATCCGTACAGTGTCCCATCCGGCCCCTGGCACAGGAACCTGGATGTCTTGACTCCCAAGATTTGGATTACCCCTGGCTTTAGGGCCTTCAGCTCCAAGAGACCTGAGGGAAGACAGTGGTCAGAGACTCAGATGGCCTTTGCCCAGCCCCTCCTCCCTCAGACCCAGGAGCCCAGGCCCCCAGCCTCCTCCCTCAGACCCTGGCCCTGCCCCCACACTCACTTTCGGGACTCCTGCGGGCAGATCCTACCACGGAGCCATCAGCCCTGATCTCCAGGTGGGCCTCTGTCTCCTGGGCATCGTCTGTGTAGAGGTACCGCTGCCTCACTTGGCCCCCAAATTGGAGGAGGGGGCTGGAGTCCCGGATGGGGAGTGCCTGGCCGGCTCCCAGCAGGACAGCCAACACAGGGACCCACAGTCCTGGGACCCGGACCCAGGCCCTGACCCAGCCCATCAATGGCTCAGTCCTTAGGTGAGGTTGCAGCCCGCAGTCGGAATCACGGAAGGGTCTGGACTCTGTTTCAGACCCGGGGCGTCCGGCAGAGCGACGGCTGCACTGCTGCTCAGGCTCTCCAAGCGCCTGCGTCCTTCTTGCACGTGGATTCCCAGACCGTGGGACAACCAAGGCTCTTGGGAGAGATGCCGAAGCTCCAGGATTTATATCCAAACAGACCCGCCCAGTCACCTTCTCTATGCCTGACCTGTGATATTTGACCCACTTGGCAGGAGCACGGATTCCACCGTGGCCAGGTCAGCCTGAACGGGTGATGCAATCAGGCAGGGGGTCCTTCCAACCGGGAGCCTGGACTCCTGGGTCTGAGGGAGGAGGGGCTGGGCTCCTGGGTCTGAGGGAGGAGGGGCTGGGCTCCTGGGTCTGAGGGAGGAGGGGCTGGGGGCCTGGGCTCCTGGGACAGAGGGAGGAGGGTCTGGGGGCCTGGACTCCTAGGTCTGAGGGAGGAGGGGCTGGGGGCCTGGGTCTGAGGGAGGAGGCTGGGGGTCTGGGCTCCTGGGTCAGAGGGAGGAGGGGCTGGGCTCCTGGGTCTGAGGGAGGAGGGGCTGGGGGCCTGGGCTCCTGGGACAGAGGGAGGAGGGTCTGGGGGCCTGGACTCCTGGGTCTGAGGGAGGAGGGGCTGGGGGCCTGGGTCTGAGGGAGGAGGCTGGGGGTCTGGGCTCCTGGGTCAGAGGGAGGAGGGGCTGGGGGTCTGGACCCCTGGGTCTGAGGGAGGAGGCTGGGGGCCTGGACTCCTGGGTCTGAGGGAGGAGGGCTGGGGGTCTGGACCCCTGGGTCTGAGGGAGGAGGGCTGGGGGCCTGGACTCCTGGGTCAGAGGGAGGAGGGGCTGGGGGCCTGGACTCCTGGGTCTGAGGGAGGAGGGGCTGGGGGCCTGGACTCCTGGGTCTGAGGGAGGAGGGCTGGGGGTCTGGACCCCTGGGTCTGAGGGAGGAGGGCTGGGGGCCTGGGCTCCTGGGTCTGAGGGAGGAGGCTGGGGGCCTGGGCTCCTGGGTCTGAGGGAGGAGGCTGGGGGCCTGTAAGCTGCCTGCCTCCGCAGTCACTGCTGCAGCTTGTGTCTGGTTCCCCCCGAACATCTAGGCTTTGGTGTCAGACACTGAGGTCCCTGGTGCGTCAGGAAACGAACAAGCACCAGGTGCCCACCGTGTCCTCCCGGAGACACAGCTGTCCAGGGCCAGAAGCCTCTCCCCTGCCCTGCCAGCAGCTGGCACCCCCAACACCCGGCCTCCTCCTCTGGCCTCAGTCCAGACCAGGTGCCCCCAGCACAGCCTGGGCGGAGGGCGGGCAGGTGAGCCAAGAGCCCAAGAGGAATGAGAGACGGGCAACTTCTTGGAAGCGAAGGGTGAAGAGCGTGGACCCCCGTTCTGCAGGAGGAAGGCGCTGGCCGCCTGGATTTCCTCAGCCTGACGCTCAGCCCGGCCCTGTCCTGGGGGATGATGGTCAACTGTCTACCCCAGAGTCCTTGGTTCAGATGCCGGGGCCCTGGGTGAGGTAAGCAGGCCCCTCAGCTATGGCAACTCCTTTCCTGCGCGGGAGAGCCCGGCCTCTGCTCCCGCTCTGGGCTCTGGGCTCTGGGTGCTGGGCTCTGGGCTCTAGACTTTGGGCATTGGGTTCCGGGCACTGGGCTCTGGGTGCTGGGCACTGAGTGCTGGGTGCTGGGCTCTGGGTGCTGGGCACTGGGTGCTGGATGCTGGGCTCTGGGTGCTGGGCACTGGGCACTGGGTGCTGGGTGCTGGGCTCTGGGTGCTGGGCACTGGGTGCTGGGCTCTGGGCACTGGGTGCTGGGTGCTGGGCTCTGGGTGCTGGGCATGGGTGCTGGGCTCTGGGCTCTGGGTGCTGGGCTCTGTGGCAGGCATGAAAGAGGCGCTCTCCCACTCTGGCATTTCCGGTTCCCCGTGCTTGGGAGGGGCGCCCCCAGGAGGTGCCTGCCTAGAGAGCCGCAGTTCAGCACCAGACCCAGAATCTCCCCAAAGGAGAGGCTGAGGGTGTGACTGTGGAATGTGGGGGGGGGGGGCGGCGGCCCCTGGTGGGGCGGGGACACCCCCAGGCCCGACCCGGCGAGCTGGAGGCGGCTTCCACCTGGCAAACAGGTTCTCCATCCCTCGGGAGGACACGGGCTGCCAGGACTGCCCTCCCCGCCCGCTCTGAGTCAGGGCCCCATCCCAAGCGGCTGGGGCGAGGCCGGCTGGGCGCATCCAGACAGTGGGGAGCCCAGGACCCGAGGGGAAGACGAAGAGGTTGACGGACCGGATCGCCCAGGTCCAGCATGGCACCTGCCAGTCCTGCGAGGATGGGGCTCCTGGGTGGCCGGATGGGTAGGCCGCCCGCCCGCCCACCCGGGACCGAGCCCTCCTCCAGGCCAAAGCCCGGGAGGGGCTGGGGGGTTGGGATGGGGGGTGCCCGGAGGGCAGGGCAGGAGGACTACCAGCCTGGCTAGGGGTGTGGGGAAGGGGTGGGGCTCCGCCTGGCAGCTCCGGGCAGGGCTGGGAGAGGTAGAGGCCGGGCGGACCGCGCCCACTCTCCTTGCTGTGGCCAGTGAGGGGAGGAGGCTGGAGGGCAGGGCTGCGGGTCCCGGGAACCTGGAGTCTGCGGTTTGGGGCGGCCAGATGTAGATTGCTTTTAGGAACAGCGCTCGGCCCAGGCCAAGCCAGCAGCGGATCAGCCACCTGCCAGGAGCTCAGGTGAGTGGAGGTGCAATCGCAACCTCTAACCCCCATGACCTGAGGAGCCCCCTGCACCCACAAGCCCAGTTCCTGCTCCTGGGGGTGAGGGGAGGTGGGGGGTGGTGGCCAAGATCCCTTATCAGTCCTGGGCCTCCAGCCCTCAGTTCTGTTTGGCGCGTCTCTTCCTGTCGCCTCCGCGCACACACACAGGTTCACCTGGGAGGGGAGCTGCAACACGGCCACACCGTGGAATTTACATGTGGGCCTGACAGGCGGAGGCAGCGAGGCTGCAGGATGTGGGGACCAGGTGCTGGGCCCTGGACGATTGCTCTCTTGGAAATCACCCCCCCTCCCACCCCCAAGTCCCAAACCTCCAGCTTCTCTGCCCTCAGGCCCCCCAGCGAGAGCTAAGCCCCTGATTCCTTTGGGCCGAGTCTCCCTGAGGCTCCCGGGCTCTGAGCTCCTGCTCACTCACCTCTTCTCCCCGCAGCCATGTGGACCCTGGGCCGCCGGCACCTGTGTCTGACTTTCCTGCTGGTTTGTGTGCTGGCGGGAATCTCTTTCCTCCACCTCTACCAGGGCCTCTTCCCGGGCGGCCTGGACCTGCCTTTCCTGTGTGCAGACCGACACCTGGTGGCGGCCCCCGTTGCCATCTTCTGCCCACCGGGCGCTCTCATGGCCCTCAACACCTCCGCTTCCTGCGCCCAGCTCCCCGCGCCCCCCTCGGGAGCCTGGACCATCTACCCGGACGGCCGGCTTGGTAACCAGATGGGGCAGTACGCCACGCTGCTGGCCCTGGCCCGGCTCAACGGCCGGCAGGCCTTCATCCTGCCCGCCATGCACGCGGCCCTGGCCCCCGTGTTCCGCATCACCCTGCCCGTGCTGGCGCCCGAGGTGGACAGCCGCACGCCCTGGCAGAGCCTGGAGCTGCACGACTGGATGTCGGAGGAGTACGCCCGCCTGCAGCAGCCTTTGCTGAAGCTGTCGGGCTTCCCCTGCTCCTGGACGTTCTTCCACCACCTCCGGGAGCAGATCCGCCGGGAGTTCACCCTGCACGACCACCTCCGGGAAGGCGCCCAGGGTTTCCTGGCACAGCTCCGCCTGCCGGGCACCGGCGGCCGCCCGCGCACCTTCGTGGGCGTCCACGTGCGCCGGGGGGACTACCTGGAGATCATGCCCCAGCGCTGGAAGGGGGTGGTGGGCGACCGCGCCTACCTGCGGGAGGCCATGGACTGGTTCCGGGCCCGGCACGAAGCCCCCATCTTCGTGGTCACCAGCAATGGCATGGCCTGGTGCCGGGAGAACGTGGACGCGTCCCGGGGGGACGTGGTCTTTGCCGGCGACGGACAGGAGGCCTCGCCGGGGGCGGACTTCGCGCTGCTCGCGCAGTGCAACCACACCATCATGACCATCGGCACCTTCGGCTTCTGGGCCGCCTACCTGGCGGGCGGAGACACCGTCTACCTGGCCAACTTCACCCTGCCCGACTCCGGCTTCCTGGACATCTTCAAGCCCGAGGCCGCCTTCCTGCCCGAGTGGGTGGGCATTAATGCAGACCTGTCTCCGCTCCAGAAATCTACGTCTCCGGGGGCCTAGCAGCTTCTGGAGGAGCTTGTGGCGGTCCTGCAGCAGGCGGGCACCGTTACGAGAGTGATTCTAGTTGGCTAGACCTTCAGAGAGAGAGAGGCTTCCAGCAACTGCTGAACATTCCAGAACCAGCAGGAAATATTGTCCTGACCGGCGAGGGCTGGGCCGCCTGTGGTGCCCAGCCCTTACCCACAATGTGGATGGCTGTCCCCCAGGAGCCGGGAGCTACCCTGTGCTAACTACTCAGGCCTTTTCTAGAAGAGATGTTTTTCTTCTCCCGGGCCCTCAGGACGGAAGGAACTCGTGGGTGTTCCAGAGCAAGCGCTGGCCAACGCCCCCTGTGTTTCTGGAGTGGTTCTAGACGGGTCATTTGCTCTAGAGGGGGGCACGCCCTAATGCCCGTGAAGAACCCTGCAAAGGGATGGGGGGGCTGTCCTGGAATTCTGGATCACTTTGGTGAAGAGTTGAATAAAGGTCCAATCAGAAGCTCAACACCGCACCGCTGCCCAGAAGATTGATGGGAGACAGATTACGTGCAGCTGGGGCAGTTTGTGCGAAGGGTGAAACTCTAGTCCACTCTCAGCCCCTGGGGAAAACCACTCCGCCTCCCCCCAGCAGATAGGCTAAAAGGTGAGAGGTGGAGGAAGGGGGTGGCTGCTGAAATGCTGGAACTTCCAGAGCTGTAATGACACTTCTTTTTTTTTTTTTAAGCTCAGAAACTGACATGTTGCCTCCCAGTATGGGATGCCTCCCCCAGTTAAGGGTGGTCTTTCCTCTGCAGCTGGGCGGCTGGGGGAAATGGGATGGATTTGGAGTCAACTGGGATATATGTGCCCTCTGGGCTGGCAGAAAGCTGCTGGTATTGTCCCCCTTGCCAACCACTGTCTGTCTGCCCCTAAATTCACTGACTCTGGCCTTGGGCACATGAGGGGTGGGAAGATCCAAGGGTATGCAGACCCTGCCCTAGTCTCATACCCAAGCAGGAGTGTGCTTGGCTAGGATCTAGCCAAGGAGGACCGGATTCTTGACTCAGATTTCTGGAGCCCCTTAGTGCTTTTTTTTTTTTTTTTTTTTTTTTTTTTTTAATATATCTCTATTGATTTCAGAGAGGAAGGGAGAGGGAGAGAGAGAAAAACATCAATGATGAGAATCATTGATTGGCTGCCTCCTGCATGTCCCCTGCTGGGGATCAAGCCCGCAACCTGGGCATGTGCCCTTGACCGTAATCGAACCTGAGACCCTTCAGTCCGCAGGTTGACTCTCTAACCACTGAGCAAAACCAGCTGGGGCCCCTTGATGCTTTTTGAAGGGGATGAAAGTAGATACTTTTATTCCAGACTTGTTTCTAGTCTTCTCATGGTGTTTTCTTTTTTTTTTTGGGGGGGGGGGGTTGCTATTCCCTACTCAGCTGCCATGGGTGGGAGAGGGAGGTATGAATTAAAAGTTCACATCAGCAAACTCTGTCTCTGTAATTTTGTTGGAGTCGTGTGTGTGTGTGTGTGTGTGTGTGTGTGTGTGTGTGTAGGAAAAGTGCTGAACTTCCAGGGACTCTCATGGCTCATGTCTTAGGGTATTCTCCCTGCTCAGATCTGGCAGCCTCTTATTGTCAGACGTGTGGTCTCTGAGCCCCACTTCCATTCTCACCTCTCAATACTGGCCCCTAGACCTCACTTTCCTCCGGGACCTTGGCATTCAGCCCCAGAGGCTGGGAGAGAAGGTGGAGGAGGAAGTGAGCACAGAGTCTAGGAGGTCTTGAACTACATTTCCCATAATGCCATGGGGTTGGCTGCGGCGCCCTGGAGAGAGACCAGGGGGCCTTCTGGGAGTTCTATTCCTAGGGCTGGGAAGGGCCGCTTCTCGCGTCCTCCTATGTCGACGACGCCGGGGTCTTGGGCATCTAGTGGGGAGCATGGGTTCTGGGGCCCGGGATGGGGAGGAAGCTGAGGCCGGAACCCCGTTCCACGTGCCTGGCAAGCTGGAGCAGAAGGGGCACTTCTTCGGTAAATGCTGGGAAAGTTCCGGTGTAAAAGGCCGCCGCCTCTGTGACGTCACAGCGCTATGGGCGGGGACTCCCTTTGTTGCGGTCCAATCAGGCTCGGAGTGCAGCTTCTGGGCGGGGCCAAGGAAGCCCCCAGGGAGTATCCCTTGGGAATTCGGGCTCCAACTAGGAAGTTGGAAGTCGGAGGCTGTGGGAGTACCTCGTGGCGTGGGGCGAGCCGTGCTTCTGACCCCAGTCCAATGCTCTCGATACCACGCAACCAACCTCACCCTCGCCCCTAACCAAAACCCCTCATTTTAGTAGTGGGAAAATAGTAGGGTGGAGGGACGTGGCCGGGTCCTCCTCTCGCAAAGCCCTCAGAGCCTGGACCCCCGGCTCTTCCGCGAACCCTAGTGTTTGCGGGCACAAGGCTCTGGAGTCCGGATCGGGCAGTGGCTGATGTGGGTGCATCGGGACTCCTCTTGTTCCTAACGAGAAGTGTGCGCCCTGCACATTGGGGGGAGGTTGGGGGGGGGGGGGTCCGTTCATCTCTTCGGGGAAGGGCATCTCTTCGTTTAGCGCTCACGGCCTCCGGGAGAAAGGACCTTTCCCGGAGGTCGGCGTGGATTGAACGCCCTGGCCTCAATGGGGCCGCGGTTTCCTCTCCTGGTGGCCGCGCTGGGCAGCTGCCTGCTTCCTGCCCTGGGTTGTCTCTGGTGTGATCAAAGGGTCGTGGAGGCTCTAAAATCCTTGGAGACGGATTACTTGCCCGACCACTTGGGGGCTGAGCATCACAAACACCTGATGGAAAAGTTAGAGAATGCCGTGAAGGATTTCAAGAACCTGGAGCTTGAGGACGACGAATCCTTTCTGGAGGTCGTCGGTGAGAGCCAGGCAGAGCCGGGACTCCTGGGTCCTGGGAAAGGAGGGGTCTGGGACTAGGGTTGCTGGGTGCAGGGATGAGAGGGCTGGAGGCAGAGTCTTCTGGGTTTGGGTACAGATTTAGGGGGTTTCCCCAGGGCTAGCAAATACTGTGTCCCCCTACCCCTTATCCTGCAACTTTATGCAACAAAACTACAATTCCCAGAAAGTAACAGGCGGATAGTCCCTTCACCAGGCCTATCCTTGCCCAGTGGCCCCATGGGTATTGTAGTTTCTAAGACTAGGTGAGCCCTCCATACAGTTAACACTGGAATCTGAGGTTCTGTCTACCCCGCCACAGATGATGCCACACTGGAAAAGGGAACCTGGAGTTTTCTGAAGGAACTGAAACGCATCACGGACAGTGACGTAAAAGGTAAATGCATGGCCCTAACCGGTTTGGCTCAGTGGATAGAGCGTCGGCCTGTAGACTGAAGGGCCCCAGGTTCGATTCCGGTCAAGGGCATGTACCTTGGTTGCTGGCACATCCCCAGTAGGGGGTGTGCAGGAGGCAGCTAGCTGATCTATGTTTCTCTCTCATTGATGATATTGATGTTTCTAACTCTATCCCTCTTCCTTCCTCTCTGTAAAAAAATCAATAAAATATATATATATATATTTTTAATATATTTTATTGATTTTTTACAGAGAGGAAGGGAGAGGGATAGAGAGCTAGAAACATCAATGAGAGAGAAACATAGATCAGCTGCCTCCTGCACACCTCCTACTGGGGATATGCCCGCAACCCAGGTACATGCCCTTGACCGGAATCGAACCCGGGACCCTTCAGTCCGCAGGCCGACGCTCTATCTACTGAGCCAAACCGGTTTCGGCAAAATATATATTTTTAAAGATAGGTAAATGCATGGAGGGGACAGGGGAGGGGTTCCAGAATCTCTCAGGGAAGTGATCGATGGTGACACCTGGTCAGGTACTGGGCTCTGGAACCAGACTGCCTAGGTTCGATTCCTGGCTCTGCCACTTGCTAGCTGTGTGGCCTTGCAGCTTGTCACCCTACACGGGACGCCACAACAGGGCTCTAGTCCCAGCCGTGGCTTAGCCAGTATGTTCAGTGGCCATTCAGTTTCACTGTTCTGAGAGCCAGGCTCTGCCGATAGAGACACACTTCCTGTAGCTCACACCTGGAGGTGGGGAGGGGACCACTCTGCTTCATCCTGCTTCTTCCCAGGTGAGCTCCTCGTGAAGGAGCTGTTCTGGATGTTGAAGCAGCAAAAGGAAACCTTTGGCAGACACGTTTCTCTGTTCCAAAAAGATGGTGAGGGAAGATGGGAGTTCCGGGCCCCCAGCCTCTCCATCCTCAGTCCAAGAGTCCTTGTCCCCAGCCCCTTGCTTCTCCACGTCGGGTCCCTCCTCCCTCACACCCAGGGGTTCAGGCACCCAGGTCCTTCCTCCCGCAAAGCTGGGAGCTCCAGCACCAGCCCTGACCTTTGCCCCCTCTCTCATCCCCTTTAACTTAACAATATGATTGTCTTTTTTTTTTTTTTTCCTCTTCCGAGGCAGCTCTCTGTCCCAACAAATGCGGTGAGTACGGAGTATGGGAGCTGGTCCTCTTTCCCTCATCCCTACTGTGAATGCCCAGCCTTTCTCCTCCCCCTGCTGGGTCTCCTGTGTCTTCATTCTCCGCGCCTGCAAGGTTCCGGGTCTCCAGCATTCCTTCTGCACCAAGGCCATCTAGGGGAGCAGGAGCACTCTTTCCGGAGCCTGGTTAGATCCCGGCTTCCTACCGAGCCCTGCCCTGCCCTGCCCCGCGGCCTTGCCCTTGCCCTCTCCTTTTAGCCCCGCCTCTCAGGGGGCGCAGACAGCCTTGACCCTGCTCCCGCAGGTATGATGTTGCAGACTCTGACCTGGTGCGATTCCTGCGAGAAGAAGCTTCACGCTTGTCGGAAGAACATGGATTGCGGGGGTGAGAGAGCTGGGCCCGAGAGGAGGGGTGGGCGCAAAGGGGGCGTGACTGAGTTTAGAGAAGGCCGAGGCCACCGTCAGCGGAAGAGAAAAGGGGGGGCTGACCCAGTGGAGGGGAGTTGGGGGAAGGCCAAGGGCCGTAAAGCGCCGTCCCACGGTGACCCCCTGTCCCCAGAGCGCAGAGTCAATGTCCATGAAATGGAAGACATGATCCTGGACTGTGAGCTCAACTGGCATCACATCTCTGAAGGCCTGACTGATTACACCTTTTACAGGGTGGGGCCCTCCAACCCCCGTGCCCCTTGAACTCCGAGCCCCCAGGCCCGTGTGCACCGTCTCACATTCCCCAGGACCCATGACCTACTAGGGGTGGCTGCCAATGACCCCTTCCGGACCCTACACCCCGACCAGTACACAGGACTCCTATCTCCCCCACTGAGACCCGCGATCTTCTTACCCCTGTACTTCCCCCAACCCCTGAACTCCCCAGGCCTCTGTGACCCCTTGAGCTTGGGTCTAGGTTTGGAAGAACAAATCTGAGAGCATGGTGTACAAGGGGACAGCGCCCACCCTGACCAAGACCAGGGCGACGCCGTCGGATGCGGGCATCTACCGCTGCCAGCTGGACACCGTGAAAAACAGCCCCGCCACGATCATCCGTTATCATGTCAGAGGTCCGTGCCGGGGGGCTGAGAGAAGTATGGGATTCAGGGGTCCGGGGCTGGGAGCGGCCTGCTTCAGGGGTGTGTGCGGGGAGATAACTTCCGGCCACGGTGTGGTTTTAGGCCAGGAGAGTGTCGCTTCCTGCCCCGCGTGTGGCTCTGGCCACGTAGGCAGGGTTTCCTTCGGGGTGGGTTCCGGCGTAAGCCGTCGGAGGCGCGTTAATTATCTCCTGCTGGGGCTGGGTCCTGGGGCGGGCCGGGGCCGGGAGGGCTCGCCCTGGCTGTGCTGGGACCTTCTTGGTGCCTTCCCAGGACGATCCCTTTCTCCTCCTCTATCAGTGTTGCCCAAAAGAGTTGTGGAGGAGACGCCGTCCACAAACATCATCCCAAACCCGGAGGATGTGACCCTGGATGAGGTGACTTGGACGCCCAACAAGTCGGCCACCACCATCCCGCCTCCTCCGTCGTCGCCGTCTTCCGCGGCGCAGTCCCCGCAGTCCCCGACGGTGGAGAACATGCTGAGAAGCCTCCTGGTCGGGCTGCTGATCTGGGGCTTTGTGGTGCTGATAGCCAGCATTGTCATCTTGTGAGCAGCCTGCAGAGAAAGGCAGGGCTTGGCGTGAGGGGCGGGACTTCCAGTCCAGAGGTGGGTCTGGGAGCTATGGAGCCCTGAGCCCTAGACTGCCACGGGGGTGGGGTGGGGTGTGGACCACCAGTTGGGGCTTCCCTAGGAGGGCGAAGCTCGGATAATGGCTAGAATAAGATCAGCTATCCTGGGGGCTGGGGTCTGACCCGGTTTGGCTGTGTGCACCCCGCTGTCTCCCAGGATGCTCTGCTATTGGTCCGAGAAGAATCCTGGATACTTCATTGATTCCATAAAGTCCTGGGTCAGCACTGCCAAGGAGGCAGCTCAGAGCCCCAACGTTCCAGAGAAAAAGGACAAAAAATCTAGGAGCCAATAAAGATTTATTTGATTGTTTTAAGTATCTGACTCACTCCTCCATACTGATCTCAACTTGGGGTTCCCCGAAAAGGAGAGGTCTGGGGACAGTCTCCTCTCTGAGGGAGGAGGGGCTGGAGCCAGGCCCCCCCGTGGGTCCTGGCAGGGGCCAGCGGGCTGCAGTGCGATCCAGAATGAAGGAGTGGGGCAGAGCCAGCAGTACCCAGATCTCCTCCTCCAGGCCCGGTCCCCTCACAGGACGCCCCCTCCCCGCTCTTCCTGCCGGGTTTCCTCTGGCCTTTTCCTGTCCCCCACCCAGTGCTGGGAGCTGGGGCAGAGGAAAGGCTGAACGGGAGCAGTGGGGTCGGGAGCAGACCCAGGCCGACGGAGCCAGGGCCCCCCGGGGTGCTGCTGGGACCCGAAGCAGGGTAAGAGCCGGGGACCCAGGAGTCCAGATCCCTCCTCCCTCAGATCCAGGACTCAATCCTCGGCCACTTCCCGTCCCACACCCAGGAGTCCCGACTCCCTTCCCTTTCCTCTACCCAGACTCAGGAGCCTGGGCCCCAGTCTTCTCCAGGTTCTGACCCAAGTCCAGGCCCTCCCCTCCCCTCCAGCCCATCCCCACTAAAAGCCTCAGGAGTCGGGGCCTTGCCCACCCTCCCCGTAGGGCCATGCTATCTGGTGAACGGAAGGAGGGCGGGAGCCCCCGTTTCGGGAAGCTGCATCTGCCGATGGGCCTTTGGATCAATTATCCCAGGAAGCAGCTGGCCAAGCTGGGGCGGCGCTGGCCCAGCGCAGCCTCCGTCAAGTGAGTGCCCTCCTCCCCGGAACTCCTGCCCCTGCCCCTGCCCCGTCTGCTCCTGTCGATGACCCAGACCCTGCCCTAGGCAGCGCCAGGGACCTCTGAATGGGCAAGTGAGCTGGTGGTCGGTCGGTCGGAAGGACACAGTGGGCCACGGCGATCCAGGGCCCGGGTGGGGGAGGTGCTGGGCATGGACACAGGATGGGGACCCAGAAGGCGATCGATTTGATTCACTTCTTTCCCTGATCACCCTTTGAGGTTCCCTTCTGTGGGACTCGCCTACTTATTTATAATTTCCTCTCTTTCCTTGTCTCCGGCTTCTGCCCACCTCGCATCTCCACACACCCTACGCTCGCTTCCCACCTTTCTGCCCGTCTCTGTCGCGTCTCCATGGGTCTCTGTCACTCTGCCTCGGGGTCTCTGCCCCCCTCCCCCCCAATCTGGGTCTTTGCCCGCCTCCCCCCTTCTCTAACTCCTGCGTCTCTGCGCGTCTCTCTCTCCCGCATCTCCGCTCCACGGCGGGCTCCCAGGTCTTCCTCTTCCGACACGGGGAGCCGCAGCAGCGAGCCGCTGCCCCCGCCGCCGCCGCACGTGGAGCTGCGGCGAGTGGGCGCGGTGAAGGCGGCCGGGGGAGCCTCGGGGAGTCGCGCCAAGCGCATCTCCCAGCTCTTCCGGGGCTCGGGGACCGGGGTCGCGGGAGGTCCCGGGACCCCGGGGAGCGCGCAGCGCTGGGCCAGCGAGAAGAAGCTGCCCGATTTGGCGGCGGGCGTGGCCCCCGAGCCCCCCCTGGCCACTCGCGCCACTGCGCCCCCGGGGGTCCTCAAGATCTTCGGCGCCGGGCTGGCGTCGGGCGCCAACTACAAGAGTGTGCTGGCCACGGCGCGCTCCACGGCCCGCGAGCTGGTGGCCGAGGCGCTGGAGCGCTACGGGCTGGCCGGCAGCCCCGGCGGCGGCCCCGGCGAGAGCAACTGCGTGGACGCCTTCGCGCTGTGCGACGCGCTGGGCCGGCCCGCGGCGGGCGGCCTGGGGAACGGCGAGTGGCGCGCGGAGCACCTGCGCGTGCTGGGCGACGCGGAGCGCCCGCTGCTGGTGCAGGAGCTGTGGCGGGCGCGGCCCGGCTGGGCGCGGCGTTTCGAGCTACGTGGCCGCGAGGAAGCTCGCCGCCTGGAGCAGGAGGCTTATGGCGCTTCCGACGGCGAAGGTGAGGCGGCCCGCGGGGCCTGGGGGCGGGGCCTGGGGGCGGGGCCTGGGGGCGGGGCCTGGGGGCGGGGCCTGGGGCGGGGCCTGGGGGCGGGGCCTGGGGGCGGGGCCTGCGGAAAGGGGCTGGAGCTGACACAGAGGCGGGGCCAGGCGGAGGGATGGGCCGGGTTTGGGGGCGGGGCCTGCGGGAAGGGGCTGGAGCTGACCCAGGGGCGGGGCTAGGCGGAAGGATGGGCTGGGTTTTGGGGCGGGGCCTGCGCAAAGGGGCGGGATCTGACCCAGGGGCGGGGCTAGGCGGAGGGATGGGCCGGGTTTGGGGGCGGGGCCTGCGGAAAGGGGCTGAAGCTGACCCAGGGGGGTTGGGGTCGGGGCCAGGGCGAGGCAGGCCTGCAGGGCTGGAAGCGAAGCCCCTGGGAAGGGACTTGGGCGGGACCTAGAGCACGGGGAAAAGTGGAGGAAAGGCTGAGTTCGGCCAGGGTCAGCCAGATGTGCTAGGCCAGAGCCCTTGGGGTAAGGGCAGCGCCCACGGGCGGGGCCTCTGGTGCTGGGGCGGGGCCTGCAGAATAGAGGAGCCTGGAGCTAGAGGTGTTGGCCGGGGCGGATGCGTGGAGGGGGATCCTGTAGCTGGAGGCCTCTCAGAGCAGTAGCTCCTGAGGGCAGGCGGCCCTTTGCGGATGGAGACTGGAAGGGGCAGGGACCTGGCGCGCGGAGAAATGGGCTGCGAGAGCAAAGCCTGAGAGTGGGCGGGGCCTCCGGGGGGCGGGCCCTGGAGCTGGTGGCCTTGGCAGGGCTGGCTTCCAAGTCTGAGCGCTGGGGCTTGAGGGTGGAGACCAGGGAAGATCGGGCCGGGAACTGGAGGTGGTGCCATTGGTGAAGTAGCAAATGGGGGGCGGGGCCTGGCAGGGGTGGGGCCAGGCTCACAGGACTAGGGGCTGCTCAAGGGGGTCCTGTAACCTCTTTTCTGTTTCTGAGTCTCCTTTCGGGAGATAGAGTGCTTGTGGCAGTTAAGCTCATAGGCTTTGAACTCAAGCTGAGAATTCAACACGTTCTAAGTCAAAGTCAGCAAAGTGCTAGAAGATTCAAGGAGATAGTGTATAGAAAGAGTTTTAGCCCAGTGCTTGGCGCATTAGTTGCTTAATATGGAATGGCAATTATAACTATCATTGTCTTTTTTAAAAAAATATGTTTTTAGCCCTAGCCAGTTTGGCTCAGTGGATAGAGCGTCGACCTGCGGACTGAAGGGTCCCGGGTTAGATTCCTATCAAGGGCACTTATCTTAGTTGCAGGCTCCTCCCCTGGTCAGGGCTGGTGCAGGAGGAAACCAATCCATGTGTTCCTCTCACGTTGATATTTTTCTCTATCTTTCTTTTCCCCTTCCACTCTCCCTAAAACTAAATGAAAAAAAAACATCCTCGGGTGAGGATTTTTTAAAAAAATGTTTTTATTGATTTTTAGAGAGAGAGGAAGGGAGAGGGATAGAGAGATAGGAACATGGATGAGAGAGGATCATCATAGCTGCCTCCTGCATGCCCCCTCCTATGGACGGAGCCTGCAACTGGGCATGTGCCCTGACTGGGAATCGAACCGGTGACTTCTTGGTTCCTGAGTTGATGCTCAACCGCTGAGTCACACCAGTGGGCCATCATTGTCTTTTTTTCTTTTCTTTTTTTCTTATTCTTCAAAAAGCATTCATTGGGCGCCTACTCTGGGCCACACATTACTTAGGACCCTGGGAGAATACAGTGGGGACATTGAGAGGTGAAGTTCCCACCCTCCTAGATTTTACAGCCTCGTGAGAAACACACCAGTTCACTGGGTCACCTCATCCACTAGGCGCCGACTGTATGCCAGGGCTGTGCTGGGCCCAGACAGAGCCCCAAGCGCCCAGGGGTGCCATTCTCTGCTTCAACTTGGAATGTCAGGGAAGGGTGTTCTGTTTCCATGGGGTCTTCTCTGTTCACTGCAAAGTCCCTAGTGGCCAGAAGAGAGCCCAGCACATAATAGATGCTCAAAATAGATTAGTTGAAAGAATGAATGAATTTCTGACGTGAACACTTTAGGATGGGGATGGGTAGGAGTCAGGCGGAAAAAATATATATATATTCCAGGCGCAGGGGGCAGCATATGCAACCCCTAACCGTGGAGAGCAGCCTCATCTCTCCAGTGCCCACTCTTTGTCTCTCTCTTTTTTAAAAAAAAGTATATTTTTATTGACTTCAGGGAGGAAGAGAGAGATAGAAACATCAGTGATGAGAAGGAATCATTGATTGGCTGCCTCCTGCATGTTGGACCGAGCCTGCAACCCAGGCATGTGCCCTTGACCGGAATCAAACCGGGGGCCCTTCGGTCCGCAGGCCGGTGCTCTATCCACTGAGCCAAACCGGCCAGGGCAACTCTTTGTCTCTTGATAACGTCCCGCTTTCTGAGCCTGTCTCTCCCTGTGTCTTTTTCCAGTTTCAGCCTTTATTGCTCTCCTCTCTCCGCGCAGGCTCAGGCCCCGCCTTGTGGAGGCCACAGAAGAACCGCTCCCGGGCAGCATCCGGGGGGGCGGCCCTGGCCAGCCCGGGTCCGGGGTCCGGGTCCGGTACCCAGGCTGGGTCGGGCAAGGAGCGCTCGGAAAATCTTTCCCTGCGGCGAAGCGTGTCGGAGCTCAGCCTGCAGGGCCGGCGAAGGCGGCAGCAGGAGCGCAGGCAGCAGGCGCTGAGCATGGCTCCGGGGGCAGCGGACGCCCAAATAGTACCTACCGACCCCAGCGACTTCGACCAGCTGACCCAGTGCCTCATCCAGGCCCCCAGCAACCGGCCCTACTTCCTGCTGCTCCAGGGCTACCAGGATGCCCAGGTGAGCTCAGCCTCTCTCCCCCAGAGAGCCCTGCGCCCCACCCCTAGGTTGAAGGGCGACAGAACTACAACCCCCAGAATTCCTTGGGCTACCGTGTGCTGGAAGGTGTGGTCCCAGCAAGGTAGGAGATATTTTTTAAAAATGTATATTTTACTGATTTTTTACAGAGAGGAAGGG